TTCTTCCTTACCTCTAGCCTGAACCTACCCTGTTCTAGTTTAAAACCATTTCCCCTTGTCCTAACACAGCTGGCCCTACTAAAAAGACGTTCCCCATCTTTCCTATAGGCCCCCTTTAGGTACTGGAAGGCCGCAATCAGGTCTCCCCGTAGCCTCCTTTTCTCCAGACTGAACAAGCCCAACTCTCTCAGCCTGTCCTCATAGGAGAGGTGCTCCAGCCCTCGGATCATTTTTGTAGCCCTCCTCTGGACCCGTTCCAACAGTTCCATGTCCTTCTTGTGCTGAGGGCTCCAGAGCTGGACGCAGTACTCCAGGTGAGGTCTCACCAGAGCTGAGTAGAGGGGCAGAATCACCTCCCTCGACCTGCTGGCCACACTTCTCCTGATGCAGCCCAGAGTACGGTTGGCCTTCTGGGCTGCCAGTGCACAGGTTATACCATAGGGGCAAGCCACATAATTCCTCATGCCTGTGTTGCCAGCTGAGGAGTTTGGGGGTTTCCCACACCAGATCGTGGATACAATTTTGAGGAGCTGTCTCAAGTTCAATGACAAATGACTGAAATGAACAGTGGCAGGTCAGTGCGACCAGGTGGTGGTCGGCTTCAGGTATGAAAAGAACTTAAACTGGAAACGGCTTGCAAACCAGTATCACAGGTAAGCTGTGATTTACATTGGCCCTGCTACTGAAGGAATGAAATGTGGGCTGCTTCTGTGCTTAAAGTATCTCCAAGATGATCCAGCAGAATTATGGACAAGTTAGGTCTGATGTTTTGTGCTGCAGATTGCTTGAGTTATCCGAAGTGTGTAGACACACACAGAATACGGTGTTTCAGGGAGGAGTTGATGGGACTTTAACAGGGGAAACGTGTGTCTTGCACACATAATATCATTTTTTTGAAGAGAGGGGGTGCCTAAAAGGAAGCCAGGCGCTGTGAAATAAGAGGAAAGTTTCTCTTCTGAATGAATACCTGGTTACAGATAAGAAATAAAAGATAGAAATAACTGGACAGTTTTTGCAGTGAAGGGAGATTACCAATTACCAGCCTTGGGAACCTGCACGGTTCAATATACTCATAGAAGAGCTGGGAAAGGGAGCCAGACGATAGCGATGTGCCGAAATCTGCTGATGGTATAGAGTTATTCCAGGTAAGCAAAAGTAGACATGACTACAAAAAGTTGCAGAAGAATCTGACAATATCAAATGTCTGGGCAATAAAATAGCTGCTGAAATTCCATGTCGATAAAAGTCAAGCGCAGACACAATGATAGGGTTTAAATTAGCCCGCGAAAGAGGTCCTGGCATCATTGCAGATGGTTCTTTGAAAACGTCTGCTCAGTGCTCAGCAGAGGTCAGAAAGGCAAGTGGAATGCTAAGAATTGCTGGGAAAGAGGTGGAGAATAAAAGAGAAAATGTAAGTACACCACTGAATAAATCCGTGGTGATCTTGAATAGAGTGCAATTCCAGTCGCCCCGTCTCAATGCAGCAGTAAAATAGAACTAGAAAAGATGCAGAAAAGGGCGAGAAGGCTGACCTGAGTTATGAAGTGGGGAGTCTAAGCCTGTGAAGCTTGCTGAAGAAATGAATGAGCAGGATTAAGGCAGCGGTGTAAAATCAAGATCGCTATGGACAGAGTGAATAAGGAATTTTTTTTTTTTTTTTTTTTTGCTGCAGAGGATGTAATGGCATGGTCAGGCAAGGAGTTTAAAGCAAACAACAGGAAAAAAACTTTCACAGGCTGTAACAAATTAGTAAATCCATCAAACAAAATCTTTTACAAGCTGAAAGTACAAGTTGTTTAAGAAAGTAGTTGTGCTGAGGTTCGCAGCGCTGGCTCCAACATGGTCGGGCTATGGCACTGATCCCAATGGACCGAGCTGGCCATGTCCCCGCTGTCCTCTTTGGCAGGGTGAAACTTGGATTCTGGTTTGGTTTGGCCCTTTGCCAGCAGCACGTGCCAGTTTTTGGGGGCTGGCTTATAATCAGTTGAAGGATCATCGTGATCTTCTAGCATGCTCTCTCCTATGACAAAAGCCACAGAAGTTCCTTGAATGAATTAACGAATTAATTCTTTTTGAATAACAGCAGAGTATTTGGGGGAAAAAAGATCTGATAGTACCTTAAAAACCTCCTGCACTAAGTAAAAGGTCCCGGGGGTTAATTGCACTCTCCCTAATTTGGTCCTTCCCATTTCTGCATGCAAAGGCTGCAGTAGCACTTCTGGCTGCAGAATGGTGATGGGAGGTCACGTCGTCGGATGGCTCAGGAATTTTGAGACAGCAAAGACTAAAAAGTCTGCTAGAAGAGGATTATCATCACATTATATCTGCCTCAGCGGCAGGAAATCAATCACGAGTGGGCTGATTTACACCTGCCGGAGCCAGCACATCATGAACTTCATCATCTTTCCCAGTGATGTTTTTATCTTTGCATCGACACAGTCAGTGCAAGGAAAATATTTTCCCGTTTAAAATCAAAACATTCAAGGTAGTGTTTGGCAGAGTGTCGGAGCCTGGGGTTCCCACTGCTTCTGACAACAGTGCTGGTATCTTTTGCTAATGACCGAAGTGCAATATAATGAGTCGTCTTGGGCTTCTGCTTTATTCAACGTGCAGTGTTTTAATAGACTGTTAGTAATTCTGAAAGGGATAAATGATGTTTATGCCCCCTTGTGGTACGTTCTTGAACAGAATGGATTTTCTAACTGACAAAATTAGGCCAATGATGGAAAAGTCCCAGGTAAAAATCTGTAACGAATACTGTTTTGCACAGTAGAAAAATACCCATCCCTCCAGCAGCATCCTCATGACTCAGTTGAGGGGAGGAAGCCAATTTTACATGCATTTACAGCAGCAAATAAATGACTAATGCCCATGATGACAGAGTTTGTGCCATCTTTCTGCAGTGAAGATAATTTAAAAAGTGCTTTTCTTTGCTGGGAAGGTTAGAAAGTAAGTGAAATACTGCTTTCTAAAAGCAGTTGTGTTGACACCTCTTTGTGTTAGTTGTTGCCGACGTGTTGTGATACATACCTTCACATTTCTTATCTTCTTTGCTTACACATCTGACGGGTAAATAATCTGATTCCCTTGGGACAAAGCCTGTCCCAAAGATGAAAACCACTGGTGGTTTTACATGGGGAAATAAGGCCAGATTCCTGGGAAACTGGGTTTGTTACCCCGCCATGTTCAAATGCAATGAATTAAGTAGTCAACATCTTCCTAACTTGCGCTGAAAATTTAGATGTAGGGTTGGGAACCCAGGGGCTCCCCAGACAGGTCAGCCGTGGATTTTGTATCAATCTTATTACTTCATTCCTGACTGAACACTGAATACAGCAAAATGTATCCTCCAGAAAGCAAAGTTACCAGAATAAATCACACTAATGCTCTACAAAGTCCAGCAATTGATCTCTGACCGTGGTCAGTACTCAGTTGTGCTGAGGCAGGATCTGCTGTAGGAAATTCAAAGTCTTTTTGGTCCCAAATAATCACTGATTATTTACCTGTTCGCTAATGCTGTGAGGAAGCATTATTTCCATTACATGTCATCTTTCTCTCTGCCCGGCCACCAAGTATGTAGAAGACTATTGTAAAGAAGAAGGGAATGATCTCCTTTCCACATCCATGATGCGCACAAGCACAATAGTAGGTTTAAATGAATATGGTGGGCTTAACGGGGCTAGGCTTTAGGAAAAACTCCCTAACAGGATGGTAAATATTGGAATGGACTCCCTGAGGAGACTGGAGGTTCTCCATCTCTGAGGGTCTTTCAGGAACAGTTAAAAAGATGTTTGCTGGGAGTAAGGCAGCTTTCATTCATTTTATAATGATGAAAGAAGTTGGACTCAATTACTTACTACAGGTCTACCAGCTCTGGTTTTGTGGTTCTGTGAGGTTATTTCCTTTCATTAATTAGTATGAGGACAGAACACGTATTTATCTGGTAATCTTAAATGCTAACCCTTCGTTCTTACAGTTGATAGTACTGTCAAGTCTGGCTGATAGCAATGCTATCCTGTCTACGGCCAGTGCTTTACAAGTATGCTTTTCAACAGTAGTCTGACACCAGTTAAAGTGCTTATTGGGACATCATGGACTTCAGTGAGCACAAGTTATGTCCCCAATGAGATGAGAATTGGCTCCAAAATGTTGGTGCTTTTCCTTAGAAAAGGAAAATTCAGTAGGAAAAATGTCATGGCAAATCATGTTGGAAAGAAATTTCCTCTGTCAGAAACCTTTCAGGAGTTTCAAATTCAGTTAGGGGATATCAGAAAGAAATTAAAGTCTAATTTAAAATCCCCACCCACACTCCTTTTCCTGCAAAGTGATTATTGCTGCTGGTCCACGTATTGGCAAATCTTTCAGAAATGAGCCATAATTTGTCTTAAAAATATCTTTCTGGTCATGATGGAACTGTTCTTTTTGAAGAGTGGGTTTGCAGTGATTCTGTGAAAAGAGCCCAAATGCTTTTATTTCCCAATGACATCAGCGGGGCTAAAAATTCACCCAGAAATTCTTCTTGGGCTAAGGAAATTTGGGATGGGTAGCACATTTCAAAGCTGAGGGACCTGCCGGGTGAAGTTCTTGGACTGCAAGACAGCTGGCCACGCTTGATCAAAGTGTGCTGCCTTTCACATTTTTTTCCACTTTTGTTGATGGCACCACATCCCTGCCTGGCATGGGTAATAAAGAGGAGAGAATGAATGTGTGGCCAATAAAGAGGAGAGAATGAATGTGCGGCCATAGCAAATTAAACAAATGAGCCATTAAAACAGGAGGGTGCACTACCTCTTCTCACCAACACCTACTTTGGTGCCCTCAATGTCTCCTAGCAAAATAACGTGAGAGCAAGGATGAAGGGCTTTCAGGGATCTGCTGTAGCTGTGGTCCAAGCACTGAGAGATGTCTGTGGTTCCTGCTTGCTGAGACAAAACCCCACGTCATTCCTCAGCAGAGAAGCCAGCAAACCACTAATGGCTTTCCATCGTGTTTCTTGGCAGGTATTGACAGAGGGCGGCTTTGGTCCCATCACAACAGAAATCCGGGAGGCTCCAGAGTTTTATTACGCTGAAGATTACCATCAGCAGTACCTCAGTAAGAACCCCGGCGGATACTGCGGCCTCGGGGGAACAGGACTTTCCTGCCCTATTGGGATCAAGAAATAGCCTGTGCTTACTCCACCGCCTCCAGTTTGGTTTAGGGAGTTGTTTGAAAAAAGACTAACAACCCTGGTAGGAGTTATGGTATATCCACGACATCAGAGCATAAAGATTTGGGAACCTGTTGGGGTGGCTTTCTCTAATCTGAGCCATTCACCGACATTAAAAGCCAAAGTAGAGGCAGAAATTGCGCCTGTTGGCAACTGCAGCTTCTTGCTCCGTGCAGCTCACTGGGTATCCTTGCAGTCTTGTAGTCTGGAGAGAAAAGAAACTTCTCAAAGTTTGGCTTGGAATGCTGTTAAAAGGATGAATTTGGGGGTGGTTGCACCTGCTACCTGCTTTGCATAGCTAATGCCTTCAGATGTGTTTATTTTCTTAGGTTAATGAATTTGCTCGTGTTATGAGAGCTTTGACTTCTGGAGACATGGTTTGGCTCATCTTAACTATCACAACCCTGTAATTTGATGTCTTTGAGAGCGGTGAATTTGTAAGATCAGTAACTCTCTCACAATTCCACTATCACGGCAACATGTATTATCACCTGTAGTGCCTATTTTCTGAAACAATTTTAGTAATAAAAAATAAAAATTATAATGTGATTCTTCTTTTTGACAGTTCCAAAAAGTGTATAAACACAAAAAGAAATCAATTTTGTTTCCTGCATGACAATAAATTACCAAAAAAGCAAAGAAAATGTCGGCTGTGATGTGTTCCATGGCTCTAAGTATATACCGGGGTAGATCTAAAAAAAGTATCAAACATTATAAAAGGCTGCAGCCAGCTAATTAAACACCAGGGCTTTTAAATCTGTGTTATCGTGCATGACAGTAGAGAGGAGTAGAATTCATATTGGTCGCACTGTAACATAATTATTCCTATGATTAATTATTTGTACTTCAGTAGCTTGTGGAGCCTCCACCAAGACCAGAGCTCATTATGGCAGACGTAATGCCGGACAGTCTCTGCCCCGGTGTGGGTACAGTCAAAATAGCAGGAGAGCGGAAAGAGGCAAAATAAATTTTCATTTTATTGATGGGGTTCTCAGAGTGGAGACTAAAAACTTCAGCCGAAGGATGTAGGGGATGCAGGGGTTACCCTATATGGATCTGGGATCCTATGGGTTATATAGATGCTATGGAGTATCCTAGGACAAATGGCTTCAGTAGGAGAGATGGGGATGGGCTTGTCCCACCCATCCAGCTCGCTGTTTGCAATACTTCCCAGCGCAGTGGGATGCGTGGGCCTGAGCCTCTCATGTGCTTCCTATTTTGGAGGCTGTCTTAATGGCTAAGTTTGAAGACCATGTGTCATTGGTGTGGCCTTTTGCAGATGTGCTTTCTTGAGGGAAAGCTTGTCAGAGCCCACCTTGATGTGGCAGTTCTGGGCGGCAGAGCACATAAAGCCATTTTTGAGGGCTAGATGGTGGGGACCCAGAGACACAAATCCCCGTCATTTCCTTTTGGATAGCTCTCCGTGGCACTCCTCTCCATATCTTGGTTTGATGTTTTCTGCTCGCCAGCTCAGGGTTTAGGCTCAGAAAGACCCAAACCAGCTCCCTGAACATCTCTACCCAGCAGATCAGATCTTGCTCCAAGCTTGGAGTGACTGAAAAATGTGCATCAGGTAGTCAGTCTTCAGGCTTGTAAATCCAATGCTGAAGTCCTGCCTGCTTTATCCAAAGACAGGCAGTAAGTCCGTGCCAGAGAAATTAGCCCCCCATCTTCCTTTGCTCCTCAGCTGATGCTTAGTTCATTCCAGCCTCAGAAGCCAGAGGAAACCTGCCCTTTTAGCAGATTTATACCTGGGGCAAGCCTACGAGGAGCTACCTGTGGCAGGATTGCCATGTTAGGCTCTTTCTGGAGATGCCCCAAAATGTGCCCACATCACACTCAGGATTTCCAGTTGCTGTGGTAACTGCTCGCCTGTCCTTAGGGTGTTGTGGCCACCGAACTGTCCTAGTGCTCACTGCCAAGGAAACCAGCACGTTCGGCCAATTTCCTAGGCATGAGGTGACACAAAAGCAAAGAAGAGAGGAAAATGAAGTCGTACTTTCATTCTGTGCAATTTTAACCTCTGCGTAATTCAGACTTCAGTGGAATAACTCCTGATTTGCCCCAATGTACGAGGCAAAACATTTCATATGCTGAATCATTCGCGTGCTCATAAAATGCTGCCTGGTTCCCTTCTGTCCTTTCTCCTCCATCTCTTCCTACTCCACATGATAGTTACTGTTTGGAAACAAGCTGGAAAGTCTTTGGAGAAAGCACCGTTCTGGCCTTAGTATAGCTGGGCTCAAGTTGGAACCTGGCTGAGTTTTTTTTAAGCCCTGTCCTGATGGAAATAATGTGTCCATTTAGATATCAGCATAGATAGGTCCATTGATGCAAAAATTGTCCCACAACAAAATATTATGCTGCCACAGAATTAATTATAGAGTTACTGTAGGGTGGCCTTGACCCCTTGCAGTTGCTGTTGAAGGTAGAAAGAATGTCAGTCAGGGTTATAATCAGTAAGGGTGAAATGCTAATGATTCAGCCTCATGCAATAGTGTTTTAGGCTGGATTTGGTCTTGTAAGCTACCCTTGCCCACTGGGAAGAAGGGAGTGGCTGCCACAACATCATTGATGCTAAACTTTTGATTTGGCACTGTTTGAAGTTTACCCTAGAATCATAGAATGGTTACCCTACCGCGGAGCTGCCTCTTTCTTTTGAGAACACAGACACAGTCTAAATGAAGAAGATAAAGTTAGTTCAGAGTTTGATAGGCTTCAGCACTTCTCAGAGTCAAAGATGAAAGCATGACCAGCATCTAAGGTCTTCAGAGAGAAGAACATGGTTTGAGATCCAAAAAGGGCTACAGCACCAAAACCCATGAAGTCCACTATTGCAGTGCCCCATGAAAGTCAGTCCAGGATACATAGAATCGTAAAATCATAGAATGGTTTAGGTTGGAAAAGACCTTTAAGATCACCAAGCCCAACCGTTCCCCTAACCCTGCCGTCCCACCACTAAACCCTGTCCCTAAGCACCTCATCTGCCTGGCTTTTAAATCCCCCCAGGGATGGCGACTCGACCCCTTCCCTGGGCAGCCCCTTCCAGTGCTTGAGAACCCTTTCAGTGAAAAAAGTTTTCCTAATGTCCAACCTAAACCTGCCCTGGCACAACTTCAGACCGTTTACCCTTGTCCTATCGCCCGTTACCCCAGAGCAGAGACCGACCCCCATCTCATTACAGTCCTATTCCTATCATAGCTAAAGCAAATCCCAAACCTCTTGGAAATCACTGAGCTTTCCCTCAGCACCTTAGGAAGGACAGCCTGCAATGGTGATGTCAACAGAAACAAATGGATTGTGTGATGTCATATCCTGGTTGCCCCAGAAGAGAGATGTGTTGCCTTTGGTGAGAACATGGAATGGGGAAGATGTCTCAAGGTGTCTGCAGAAGCATCGTTCCTCTGAATGTTGTCGAAGAGTGTGGGTCCGAGACTGGGATTGAAATGCTGCTCCTTATCCTCTTTTGTTTAACTTCTCTGATCAGCAGCACCAATGCAGGTTTTTCTTCTCAACTTTTTATGTTCAGAAACGACCAGCAGAGCGAAACTGCTAGCAAACCTACAGGATATACACGTAACGGTAAATGAAATGGGCCTGGGCTTATTCCTTGTACTTCATGTCACATATGTACAGGCTTGTACTACGGCCTAGTACTGAACTCTTCCACTCATACTCCCTAAACGAGGATTTTATCCAGCCTGCCTATGGGAAACGGCCTATGGCCCCGCTAGCCCCCAAACTGCCTGGGCATTGCTGGGCAGAAGGCAGGTTTGGGGAGTCTATGGCGATGCCAGGGGCTTTGGTAGAGTTCAGGTAGCATGGGTAATTATAGACCAGTGCTTTAGCTGATATCCTGCCCCTCTAGCTTAGTAGCAGAGGCAGTGGCACTGCTGTACATGAGCAACGTGTCTCATCTTGTACCCAGAGTGTGGCCTCCGACCATCTTACGAGTCCTTTCTGCGGACCGGCAAGAGGATCACAGCGGGGAGATACGCCACGGTGGGGGAGTTCCCATGGCATGTGAGCATCCAGAGCAACGGGAAACATATCTGCGGAGGCACCATGATCAGCGCATTGTGGATTTTAACTGCAGCCCATTGCTTTGCAGAAGAGGTGTGAGTACTTGGGGGAGGTGAGGGCAGCCCAGGCGCAATGGGTTCATAACCACTCCTTGCAGGTGTAGGCTATGCACGGCCTTGGGGTTAAGTGCAGCATATATGGGACTGAGCCAGAAAGAGAGCCCTGAAAACAGGAGTTGTCTCCTTTGGCGAAAACAGACCCAGTTTTGACCAAAGGTGGTGTTACAACAGGGATGTGCAGAAATCTGTGTAACCAGAAGATGCAGAAGGGGAGTATTTTGAAGGATGGTCTGAGCAGCCTTGTATAAACGCCGGCGATGCTGTTCTGGTGGCCCTAAGCATTTCCTGTATATCTACACATGTTGTGGTACCCTGTAAAAAGAGGTGCATTCCACTCCAGCATATTCTAATCCCCAAATTACCTTTGCTTTCATATGGGAAACACCTTTACCGCATGGAGAGTCTGATTTTAAAACGGCACTTTCCAGATAAATCAACCCTGAGTCCAGCCCTCTGTGAGACCCCTCCAAAATTTGGCAGGTCCAAGAGACAAGACTGCTTGGTGACAAATGACCTGTGGCATCGCAACCTGGAGCAGATGGCTGGGGGCAGCGCCGTCCTGACCAGCCAGCCCAGGGCACAGCAATCCCAAAGATCCAGCCCACTCCATCTGTTCATTAGCCACTGGGCTATTTGTAACTTGGTTGCGTTCTTGTTCTACCTCTACACCTCTCTGCCCTGAAAATTAGCTTTGCCTAGAAGTGAGGGTAGATTTCTGTGATATTTATAGCCAAGTTGCCCCTGCAATTTGCTGAGCACCACCCTACCCTTCTCAGGGAGAGGAGGCACCAACCTTTATAACACAAAACCTTCATGTTCAGGTTCTGCACCTGGGTCAGGGTAACCCCCAGTATCAGTACAGGCTGGGGGAAGAAAGGATCGAGAGCAGCCCTGCCGAGTGGGACCTGGGGGCGCTGGTGGATGAAAAGCTGGACATGAGCTGGCAATGTGCACTGCTAGCCCAAAAGGCCAACTGTACCCTGGGCTGCATCAAGAGAAGCGTGGCCAGCGTCGAGGGAGGGGATTGTGCCCCTCTGCTCTGCTCTGGGGAGACCTCCCCTGGAGCCCTGCGTCCAGCTCTGGAGCCCTCAGCACCAGGAGGACATGGACCTGTTGGAGCGGGGCCAGAGGAGGGCTACTAAAATGCTCCGAGGGCTGGAGCCCCTCTGCTCTGAGGCCAGGCTGGGAGAGTTGGGGGTGTTCAGCCTGGAGAAGAGAAGGCTGCGGGCAGAGCTGAGTGCGGCCGGTCAGGGCTTCAAGGGGGCCCAGAGGAAAGGGGGGGACAAGCTTTTTAGTAGGGCCAGCTGGGACAGGACAAGGGGGGATGGCTTTAAACTGAAGCAGGGGAGGTTTAGACTGGATCTAAGGAAGAAATTCTTTCCAGTGAGGGTGGTGAAACCCTGGCAGGGGTTGCCAAGAGAGGGGGTGGAGGCCCCATCCCTGGGAACATTCCAGGCCAGGTTGGAGCAACCTGATCTGGTTAAAGGCGTCCCTGGTCCTGCAGGGGGGTTGGGCTGGGTGGCCTCTAGGGGTTCCTTCCAATCCAAAACATTCTATGATTCTGTGTTTGCTGATGTCTACACTGTTTCTCTTTTGTTTATAAAGGCCACCGGATCTCACTGTTGTAGTGGGGGGAATTGACCTCAACTTTCCACTGGAAAAATATAAGCCAGACAGCTTGATCCTCCATGAAAACTTTGACAGAATGAGCATGCAAAACGATATTGCTCTGATCCTGCTCAGCTCTCCCATCGAGTTCAGCCATGAGAAAATCCCCATCTGCTTGCCCTTCATGTATGACATCAATACGTGGCAACACTGCTGGGTTGCTGGGTGGGGAACAAGAAGTACAGGTGAGATGCTGTCGGGAGATGTATTTGCTATCAAGGCTGGTTATTATCTGTTTAAAGTAATTGTTCTCTTCCAGGACGGGTTACCCACACTAACTTCCACTCCCTACCTCCCTGGTAGACACATCCAGACCCTCACAGCCTCTGCACATCCACCAGTTCCCTGTTCAGTGCAAGAACCAGTCACCTACTGACCCCCAGAGCAAAGTCCCTGGTACTCTGAGCACACATGTTCAAGCTGAAACCTTAAAGCCCACATTTGCTCTGCAGGAAGTCACCCTCTGATCTTAAAGGTCTTTTCCAACCTAAACGATCCTATGATTCTACTCTATGATTCTTGCCTTTTTTGGCACCCAAAGTAAGACAAGCTCCATCATGGTGGGCAAGTTAGGCTTGGTCTAAAGTGGTCTGGAATAAGGGAACTGGAGGTCTAGGGTTTTCTTTGGCTTAATGAACCAGATTGATTCAATGGTACTGGCTACCCCTCTTCTTCACTTATTTAGAAAGGCAGATTGCTATTGCCAATTGCTCTCGTTTAAGCCCTAAGGAAAGTAGCTCCAGCACTGATTCTAACCCCAGATGTCTATCCTGAACAAATGTCACTAAATGGCTAATGAGCAATTTCATTATTGGAAAGAGGTAATTGGGACGGAGTGGGCAGGGCGGTGCCTTGGGTCTTTAACGGCCCTTGCTAGGACGTAGTAAGTGAATGTCCCATTTAATCCTTGTTCTTCTGCCCTGTAGCGTTACTGAACTGAAACGTCTCTGAAACTCTGCATTTTCCTTTCTAGGCTTCATTTGCCTCACGTAACATTAATACACAACGCAACACTGTGTTATCGTTGTGAAAGTCTCCCATTTCACCAAGGAAACGTGCTCTTAGAAACAGAAAAACAGGGGGATGCTGCAGTCACTCTGCAGCTTGGCAGGTTTTCTCTTTAGCTGGTCCCTTTGCAAAAAGCATGGCGTGGCTCCCCGGATCGGTCTCATGCTGCTGGGTCAGCCCAGTTGGCATCATCTCTGCTCTCCAAATTGCACCCTGTGAGAGGTCAATGTGCTCAGCCCTGGCACACACCCCTCTGTCTGGGAGATGTTTCATAAGAAAAACAACAGAAGCTGAGTGTGGTGAGCGGGATGGGTGATGGTGGGCCATACCAAAAAGTATGAGGTGTTGTTCCTCGGCAGGGGAAAATGGGTCATTACTTGTCCTTACCAGCATTTTGTAAGTGGACATCTCTCAACTGGCACCTCAAATGCCATTAGTCTGACTCCCCTTCGAAGATGAGCCAGCAGGGTGCCCAGGTGGCCAAGAGGGCCAGCACCATCCTGGCTTGTATCAGGAGTGGTGTGGCCAGCAGGAGCAGGGCAGGGACCGTGCCCCTGTGCTGGGCACTGGGGGGGCCGCCCCTCGAATGCTGGGGTCAGGGTTGGGCCCCTCCCTCCCCAAAGGACCTGGGGGGGCTGGA